CACACACACACACACACACACACACACACACACACACACACATTCTCGCACATGCATACATACACATACAAGGGCACAACACACCACAGGGGGTGTTACAATGGGTGGTGCCTATGTAAACTGTAACTGTAGTCAATAAAAGGCTGCAAGGAAGGCTGTTTATTTAAAGTTAGCTAGGAAACAGGTGAGGAGCGTTCAGCTCCAAGAGCCTGGTTCCGACCAGCGTCCCTTGCTAGCAAGTAAAATTGTTCGATTACTGTTCGTCTTGCTTCGTTAATGGTAATAAGTCTCTAAACCAGCGGGGCCTGTGGAAGCGCAGACCCAACAGCAACTCTGGCATGTAGACATGGATGTCCTGCTGATTCTTAGCATCAGAATGGAGAAGAAAAATTACATCAGTAATTTTGAAAGTGACAATGTTGGTGCCAGACGGGTTGGTCTGAGTATTTCAGAAACTGCTGATTGTATAGAAAATTATCAGAAAAAGAGAAAATATCCAGTGAGCATCAGTTCTCTGGATCATAAAGCCTTGTTGATGTCAGAGGTGAAAAAAAAAAGCCCCAGGAAGGCAACAGTAACTCAAATAACTACTTTTTACAACTGAAGTATGCAGAAAAGCATTTTGAACCTTGAAGTAGATGGACTACAATAGCAGAAGACCACACCACATGCCACTCCCATCAGCAAAGAACAAGAAACTGAGGCTACATGGGTTCAGTGCACCCATATTGTGATGACTGCTTCCAGCAGGATAACACAACACGTCTCAAAGCTCAGATGATCTGAAACTGGTTTCTTGAACATGACAATGCATTCCTTGTACTCAAGTGGCCTCAATAGTCACCCGATCTCAAACCAATACAGCATGTGCGGAATGTGGGATGTGTTGGATTGGAAGATTCCCATCATGGATGTACAGCTGACAAATATGCAGCAACTGTGTGATGCCATCATGTCAATATGGACCAGAATTGTTGAGGAATGTCTCCAGCACCTTGTTGAATCTGTGCCACAAAAAATTAAGGCAGGCAAACTACTTCTAACCAGGTGTACCGTGAGATTCAAATATTACTAACCCTTATCTGTTTAAAGTAGGGAAAATCCTAAAATAGAATGAGTCCCATTTAGTAAAAGGTATGATTTCTGGAGAGGGGTCAGCAACCCACATGTCCTGATTTACATCGGTACAGTTCAAGACATTTACTCATTAAAGCCACACCTAAATGCAGAAATAGAGGGAACTAAACATCTTTTCAAGCATTTAAAACTGTAAAAAAAACCTGTAACAGAGTCTCTCTTTTACCTAAAACAACCACAGAAGAAGAGACAAGCCAGCTTTAGCATTTCTTAGGGTCAAGTGCATTTAAATTTTGCATTACAGGTACTCACCAATGCCATTATATCTTTTTAGTTTTTACAATATTTTTTTCTGTCTCTTTTTTCTAAAACAAGTTAGCCCTGAGCAAATTTGCCCTATCTGAACCACCAGATGTGCCCACTGCAGTATCCCATCTTTTCTGGAAATGAAAGCAAATAGTAAAGAGTTTCTGTAAATATCCTCACATGCAGCGTCAGATTCCTATCCTTGCCTGACAGTCGATTTTGTAAGTGGCTGGGTGGGCATTAGGCCAAGGAAATGTAGTTGGTATAAGACCTAAATACAAGCTGACAAGTATTTCCTCTTGAATCTGGTCGTACGTCAGAGCCAGCAGAGCTCACACGACAGTCACACTCAGGAAAATAGTGGTTGGAGACTACGATGCAAACAAAGTGATTGCGAACATGAACACCTATTGAAGGAGGTACAAAAAATGAAGAAGCATGAATGTTGCTCTCAATGTGTGTACACTGCTGAGAAAAGACTGGGAGAGATGCTTTCACTGTGTACTGATCTATGTATACAAATGTAACTAAAAGCCTGAAACACTGGAAACCACTCTGCTCATTGTCAAAGAGTAGGGGTTGAGGGTGCCGCGTGCCCAAAGTCTGGTTGATAAGTTGGTCGTCACAACTACTTGCAATCAGTCTCCGACAGCAAAAAACAATTTACTGCACTCAGTCACCCACCACCAATTTTTCCAGGTTGTAGGCTCTTCCATTGACCACACAGTCAACAAATCCAGATTTCTTTCTTCTATTTTTGGCATGAAAATGGACACACACACTCTTTTTCTCGTTATCCACATGTATGTGTTGTCTCCCAAGGAAAAAAAACAACAACAACAACAAAAAAAAAAAAACAAAAAGAAAAGAAAAAGTTAACAGCTGTGCTGCAGAAAAAGCAATTTGCACAGGGTTATTAGGACAGTGCCTCCATCCACAGCTGGGAACTCAAGGCCTCTGGCGGTTTCATAATGAGACGTCTATTGATTTTGGGTTTTCTATTAGAAATGCTGGATGAATTCCATTTCATTTAGCTGCTGTTCAGATGGCTTGAATGGAAAAATGGCCAAATCAGAGAGTCACTGTTCATTACATGTGGAGAAAATAGTGGGACTCCTGTTTTTGAGGCCAGAAGCTGCTGTGTGTAGAATGCCTTTCAGAAATTGAACTTTTTGAATTTATTTTTCTGTGCTCATCCAAGTTTAATATTGGCTACATTATTGTAGTTATTCAGCTCTCTCTATGAATTTGCCACAAAATAAGACTATTTCAGAAACAATCCCCTAGAATCAGATCTTATTTGTCTGACATACACTTTCCATCTCATCTCATTACATCACAGCCTCAAAAGACAATTCCGTACAGGTCATTTGCATTCAGATTATTGACAGCAATTTTTGCACTCTTTCATCCTTTAAACACATTGCCCTCATCTTTACAGATTACTACATCCTTGAGAACAACTCTTTGCTGAAGGCAGCCTTGAAGTACAAAAGGATCCACCTGACAGACTTCAGAACTGTTCCAATGGAACATTTTGGTGAGGAAGTGAGGGGGTAGGGCTAAATAAGTATATACTTCTGCCTACTCCTTTTCAAACAACTGCATGGAAAGATTTTATGAAATGTTGGTGAATGTATATGTTTGAAATAAAAAAGAACTGAACTGAAGTGTAGGTTTCTGTGGTGTTAGTGTAACTCACTGGTGAACTGCAATACATCAACATTTCTCTCATTTCTTGTTACAGATTTACCTTTGAAGATCTTGTACCCACCAGACTTCTCTGATTCCCGCCACTATGGACTTCTGTTGGTCGTGTATGTATCACATGTGCTTTCTACTATATCTCACAGTCCTTGGTCAAGTAAGAGAGAACAGAAAATGTATGAATATTTAATGCATTAGTTTCCAGTTGTAATCACACTCCTGACCGTAATTTGCATGTAAAGTAACCGGGGTCATGTTAAGTCAATCACAGCGTACCTTTGTGGCAACCTGTGATTCAGTCTTCTTCATATCCATTTGAATAATGAACCAATAAAAGCAAAAATAATCACTGACAGGATGAAGTGTTCTATGCCAGACTGATTGTAAAGAGAACCTATTTTCCTTATTTTCTGTCATGTAAAATGTATATAATAAAACTGAAAGGTTGCACTAAGGTCCAGATGAAGGAAAATAAACACTATTTTTAACTGTTAAACAGCTAAAAATAAGTCAGTGTACCATACCTTTGCACTGGGTCACATGTTGCATTATGAAAAAAGCTATTTCAGTCTTTAGAAGGAATCAGCTTAGAAGTCTTAGAAGTACTTGTCTTAACTCAAAGTAGATTAGACCAACTTCTGAGGTAACTTTTGAAAGTAAAACAAATGAGCAAAATGCTAAACTTGAACAAATTCCTTAATAGTATTTTGATAAATACCGTAAGCCTGTTATTAGGCACTTTCAGTCCAAAGAGTTCTAATGACTCCCTGAAGGTTGCTGCCCACCGAGGAGCAGTGGAACAAGATGAAGGATGTTTGTGGTGCAAGCTGTGCGTTTGTTGTTTGTCACAGGCTTCAGGATGACAACCTAATTGGAAAAGCAGGGTTTCTTCCAGAAAACTGACCAGCCCTAGGATGGTTAGGGTGATTGCAATTAATCTGCACTGGATTAATGTGGCGCTATCTTACCACCAACCACTATAACACTATGATGTCATTGCACACACACAGTGTTTTTTTTACTTGTTTTCTCATTTCCTCCCTACATTGCTTAGCTACATGTTGACAGCCAAGGTAACAAGCAGAGAGTGAAAATTTTGAAATTTGTCTTTCATAATTTTTTCTTTCATTTTTAGACCTCTTTTACTGTGGAAGTTGTATCAGCTCAAAAAGGAATTTCTTCCAGTTACAGAGGTTATATGACCAATGCGGCTTCATGCTGCCTGAAAGTGCCTGATTATGTTTGTTCTCTGTTCAGTGACGGCGCCCCTGGAGGTCAGGCTGTGAGTGACCGTTTCTCCCTCAGCTGGGACTCGGTCCTCGTCAGCTCTGACAACATCATTGTGGCCCGTCTGGACGGCCGGGGCGGCGGCTTCCAGGGTCAAAGGATACTGCACGAAGTTCACCAGAGACTGGGAACTGTTGATGTTCAGGACCAGATTGCAGCAGTGGAGTATGTTATCACATCCATTTTATTTTACTTTTTACTTTTTATTCTTGTACTTTGAGATAAAAAATTCAAAATATGTGCAAATCCCCTGAACAAGAGCTTTGTAACTCAGTTTGGAATTTAAAGCAGAATGCCATCCTCTTTTTATTTGATCTGAATATTTCTGCACTACTGTGTCTAATTAAATTCTTGAAAATGGTTATCAAGTCAAGAATAAAGGAAGAAATCCTTTAAAGAATAAAAGTTCCAGATAAATTCCTTTTGACATAATATAGACTAGACTTAAATTAGAAACCATAGTGTAAACAGTTTCAGATGAAATCATAAGAGGTTCTGGATGTTTCATTATTTGGTTTAGGAGCTGCCAGTTCAGACAGCACATGGATTTAACAGCAGACAATACATACCTTTGTTAAATACTGTAAGATACTGATTTCCTTTGCTGTTATTTCCAAAAAATACCTAAATAACAACAAATTCAGAATGTTTATCTTAATGGATGATCAAAAAATCTATGCAAAAACTGTCACAACTCCCCTGATTAAAAAAAAATATAGATATATATTCAGTTTGTAACCCTTCAGACATATTTAATGATGGATAAAGAATACTTTACTATGCATATTTATAACGCCAAAGTAATTATAAGTAACTTAAAAAGCAAGTGTCAAAATCATATGTTGATCGTTACTCTAATATTTGTATAATACAATTATTACAATTAATTTAAGCCAGTGGTTCTCAAAGTTTTTCATGGTCCATTTCATTAGTTAAAAAACCCCAAAGATTGTTTTCATTCATGAACAGTGAAACAGTTTCAAATACAATTTTGATAAAATGGTGAGCATAACAGGATCAACTAACTTTTTTTGATTTTTCCCAATAAAAATCATATTTACTCAGTAAACTCCATGTTTTTTCCACTGCTTGTTTGTGCTACACCGAAAATTGCTCCCACCAAGTGGAGCAAGATTGTCACTCTTCCAGGAGAGAACCCCACGATACGTCCAAAACAAAAGCTTATTCCCCTCTATGAACAGACACATTGGAACCTTTTGTCTAAGTGATGACTATCAAATTTTCTCAGTGTCATCTTACAGGAATTGATCAATGTTAAAATGAATAAATAAAACAGGTTATAGTTTTTTTTTAATTTAATCATCAAATTCACATGTTGTACACAAACAAAGCACTTTGCTGGTGGGCAAGGCAGTAGTAAGGCAGTAGTTGTTGTTGCTACTGTTTGTACAATAAGTTGCAATAAGTGATCAGTGGACTGTAAAAGTTTATAGACACTCTGCTTAATTTGCATTTTAGAGTCAAAACAGGGAGAGTCAGGCACAGCAAGAATATGGTGCACACTGAGGATGGACTCTAGTCTCTTAGGAGTCGGGGCAGGGTCACCATTAGCATTTTTGCATTTAGCCAGACTCAACATGTAACATTATGATGCTTTTTGATTTGGGTCTTGCGATGTGATCTTTCCTGTGAGTTTGTTGATGGAGAATTATAAAGAAGGTCAAAAGGAGCTGCAATGTCTTTGGGTCTAGAGAAAGCATATGAGAGGGTCGCAAGAGAGGAAGTGTTGTATGAGGAACACAGGAGTGGCAGAGGTGGTGAAAGACATGTATGAGGACAATGAGACAATGGTGAGGTGTGTAAAAGTTACAGGGTGGGATTGTATCAGATATTAGCTCTGAGCTGCTTCTTGTTTGCGCAGTGATGTTGTACAGGTCGACTATGATCCTTGCAGATGACATAGTGGAGTGAGTGGAGTGAGGGTCAGGGGTGATTTGTGATTTTTGATTTTTGATTCTGTTTTAATATCAGTTTCATATCAGACTTTACACATATACAGTTGATTTTTTTAACCTTCTTTAGGCAGCAGGAGAACTCTCCGGATTTAAAATCATTTGCTTTACTCTTGTGCTCAAATTGATGGTGCAGTCATATCGTCTCATGCATGTTTATGAAGACAGGAGATGTATCCAAGAATAAAATCATTAGAACTCACTGAAGTTTCTGCGATTTTTCAGGTGTTTTTTTTTTTTATATTTATTGATATCCAATTCTTGGTTCCTCCCATGCAACCACATTTAAGAAGTTCTGTAGGTCATATAGCATGTGTGTGTTTTTCCAGTTACATGATGAAGTTTCCATACATTGACCGGACAAGGATAGCAGTGTTTGGAAAGGTGAGCCTCCTTTTTTTCCTCCATTTTTCTACTTTTAATTTGCGACCATCTAAATTGTATTCTTACTTCCATTGCTGAAATTATTAAGTGCCAAGAAGTTACTTAGTAAAATTTCTACTGAGTGACTCCAGAGATTGAATCCAAGTTCATTTTTACACTCGATGGATTTCAGCAATTAGAGATGAATAAATGTTTGTGTTTGCTCACTTAGGGATATGGAGCCTACATAACATTAATGATGCTGAAGTCTACTGACAGCCTGTTTAAATGTGCGTGTGCAATGTCACCAGTGACCGACTGGAAACTCTATGGTGAGTAAAACATCTCTCAAAAGAGGTTAATTCACATTAAAGATACATTTTACAAGCTGCAAAGCAAATGTAAGTAAAGATCAGTAAAACTGCTGTGGTGGACTTTCCTGTGGATTTCATACATTGTGGAATTTCAGACCATTGTGTTGGTCCACAACAATAAATATATAATATATATAGGCAGCATTATGTACCACACCAGTTTTATTTGGCTTGAATATTCTAGCTACTAATGTACACAGAATATACTTTATTTCTCTATACTGTAACACAGTACTATTGAACATGTTCTGGTTCTGCATTTTTGTTTTTTTAAGTGATATTCTTTTTATCTTTATACTTTTTAGTGTCCCCAGTGTTTCATTGTTGTTGTTTTCCCATGTTTTCCCTCTGGGTTAGCTCCCTCGTCTTCCTTGTTTCTGCTTCTTGTTTCGCTTTGGGAATTGTTCTTCCTTGCATGTCAAATAAGTCCTAGCTTCATGGGTACATTTGAATAGTCTGCTTTGGTTAGGAAGGTTTCATTCTGGCACTCATAACAACTGTTTGAATTCTTCAGATACTAAGCAAGAGGAGAGGAGATAATATCATCCTACAATTTATAGCGATGCAATATCCAACCATTCCTTAAAAGATCAGCATAGTTGCAAAAGTGGTGGAGCATATTGTCCGTTTCATACCCTAACCTGCTGATATGTATTTTGAATTTTTAATCATTAAACCCCAAGGTTAGAACATTAAAATGCTGTCATGAAGTGCTTGCTGTCCAGGTGTTGTCTTTCATGAAGAACAGATTTATCCCTAGTGTGGTTGGACTCTCTCCACAATGAGTTTCTCTTTCTCTTAGTCTTTATCACTTTATCACTCCTCCTTGGTCTCATTAAGTGTTTCTCATGAAGGCCAAGGAAAAATGGCAAGGAAAGTAGAGATGCAGTAATATTTTGTCTCTGTCTTCCCTCTAATTCCCTGATTGTTTTCACCTGTGTCTTGTCTCCTGCTTTTTCTTATTTCCGTGCTTTGTGATTGTACTCCCCTTGTTGTCATTTGCACTGTGTGAGCTCCCAACTTTAACAGCTCCTATGAGTTTACCAGAATAGAGCATTTTTAGACAATCATGAAACAGTTGGTCCTGATTTATCATCACCATATTGCATCATCATCTTTATTCATTAAAACCTCAGTATATTTTCCCAAACATGAATTATGCATCTCATGTGTAACAATTTAGACTCATGTCTACACCCAAAAGCAAAACTTAATTCTCCATATTGAGCAATGCTCAATATGTCAATGACAGCCAAAAACTAATCTGTATTTCTAACTGTCAGAAGCAAATGAAAAAGACATAGCTCATGTCTGCAACATCTGATGATTAACGGGCAGTTCAACCAATTAAAGTACACAGCAAAGTGACAAAGTAAACCTAGATCATTTATTAATAAACTGAATAAATGTAAACTTTATTCTTCTCCTTTAGCCTCTCACTAAAAATGACCTGTTTATTTCTGAAATCTGAGTGTGAGATGAATCTGACCACTGTAAACATTGTCCTCTGCAGCACTGAGATGACACAGATGACTTTTTCACCACCACAAGCTGCTTTCCTTTTTACTAAAAGTATTTAATTTGGACCCTGAATAACAGGATCTCCACTTTGTGCAGGTACTTAGCTGCAGCTGAAGCACTGTGTGCTAGTGGCACTGTTAAGATTGTCTCACTTCTCATTTGCACAGCGTCAGCGTTCTCTGAACGATACCTCGGCATGCCATTACGGGATGACAGCAGATATCAGGTGCGTGTTTACTGCTTCCACGAGCATGTTTCCTGTTGATCTTTGAAAACGTTAACATCAATAACACACCTACAGTTAAGCTCCTGCAGTTACTGAAAGCAGCTGCTATCAAAGTCAGAGGCAGCGATGCTTTGCTTTACTTTTTCTTTTTTTCTTTTTTAATGCTCTGTAGGATTTTGTCACTCATCTGTCTTTGGTTACTCTGAACTCCGGTGTGTCAGATCACATGCCGAAGTTTGGGGGGTTTTTTTCAGCCGCAGCGAGACTGTCGCTCTCAGGCCTCTTGATGTTCAGCTATCAGATGTACTTTCCTCCCAGTGTGATAGGAAGGAGGCAGTGAAGAAGAACAAAACACTTTTTTGCACAAGCTCAAACAACAAATCTGACCCTGACAAGTAATTCACGGCTTCTGCTGTACCACACCTTACATTTTCCTCATAATTTATGCAATCTGTGATATTTCAAGAACAGAAAATAATATCTGTGGGAGATGCCTTATCACTTAAAGATCTCGAATTAATTTGAATGACTCTGTCGGTGTGTGTCTGTATGTAGAATGTAATTTAGTACAGTGCCATTCATTTGATCACATTCTGCATCTTTTTTTATTTTCATTTCTCAATGCCAGTTAGCATATCTATCAATTAATTATCTCCCCACTCTTTCTCACAGTTTTCCAGTGTGCTGCAGAATGTTCAAGCTCTTAGGGAACAGACACTGATGCTGGTGCATGGCACAGCAGATGGTAAGAAGCAAAATAAATCGTAGATAAAAATGAAAATACGCTATCTGTGGTGCATCACTGCTGAGCACAAAGAGGCATGCAATCCTGGAAGGTAATGAGGCAAATGCTTTTTAATCAAAAGATAAATGGAAAAGTGGGTTATCTAAATTGATGCTGGGATTTCCAGAGGAAAACATTCCCCGATTAACCATGCATGTCGGATTTGTTGAGGCATTTCCATTCTCCCAGAATCTGATTGTCTGTTTTTTTCCCAGTTAGGATTCAGGCTGAATCTTGCTGACATTTTTCTCTTTTTACTCCCAGCCAATATCCACTTCCAGCACACTGCTGAGCTCGTCAAGAACCTTGTGAAAGTTGGAGCAAACTACTCAATGCAGGTGTGTAACCCAGAGATGTCATCACTAGGTTTTTAGAGTGCATTTGGTAGAAAACAATGACCTATGGCAATGATAAATGGCTCAACTGTTACACAGTGTCAAAATAAAATAAATACATTTTTAAATAAAAGATTTTCCATATTAGTTTTTTTTTTTTTACAGAATATTTTTCAGTATTCTTTGGCCACACCTTGATTTTAACCATTTAATATTCACGGAAGCTTCCTTATTAAAAAAAAATTTAATTAATTAAGTAAATTTTCATTTCTTTTTTACTTTGATCCTATCTGTTCTAAATATATATTTTGTATAGCTTCCCTCACACTGACATTTCTTTGGGTATCACATATAAGCTATAAAAATGCAAGTTGATGCAAATAAATAAAGTAGAAAATCTACAGTTTGATCGCATCTTGATTACTTAATTTAAAATCCCCTGTGGTAGTGTACCAAAGCACAACTGCAAAAATGGTGTCTTTGTTCAATGAATTATGAACTATGAATTTTAACGAAACTTCCTGTTTATGCTGTGTTAAAAAAGAAAGTATAACAGGAGCGTGTTGATCTCATAGCTCTGGCATGATTAGTGTTAGGCAGAGTATCTTATAGTTGTCGCCTGACTAGAATAACGTGTGGTGAAGTTATGCATCCTAAATATAGCACCTGCTCATTATGTAAGGTTTTCTTTAAAAGAAGCAGTAAAGATAACTTAGAGATACAGTCCAAGCTGTTGTCTTTTCTAAATGCACGACCAGCTTGTTCTGATTCCCAGGAAACTGTGATAAACGTGTGTTGTTCTTTCAAAGTCACTGACATGTCTCAGTTATGCAAAAGCTTCCCTTCGGTGGTGGGTTAGTAAGATTGGGTTATAAGTTCCAAGTATAGATTCCAAACAGGAGGTAAACCTTGTGGCTAAGAAACCTGTGATTTATGCTACTGTCGCTTTTTCAGCCTCCTAATGTGGCCTTGGTAGGTCTCTAAAATGTGACCTTTATCTCTCAGCTGCCTATATTGCAGTTGGTGCTGCATTAGAGATACAGCATTAAAAGCAACCTTGTTTTTACTGATGAGGCACTAACAAAATGGCATTTTATGATGCTTCTTGACAAGAACGCATGTGTGTGAAAGAAACAAAATATGACAAGGGTTCACACTGAGAGCATTGAAGTTACATGGTGTATGTTTTAACCATTGCATTACTAGAAATCCCCTAAGTTGCAAGATTACGTCAAGGATTTTTTCAACGTGCTCTGATCCCATTCTTTTAGATGCTAATGGTGTTGCAGAAACACCAGTGGCTGTGGTGCACTGACGGCAAGATGTCCGTGCCGCCAGTGCACCACAGCAATACTGAATGCTGAGAGACAATAATTGTCTTACAAGAGTCCATACGGAGGTTGGTAAAGTGGAAGGTAGATGACCATAATTTAATTCAGACCTTTGTGTTTTGTGTTGTTTTTTTACTTTTTCTCTCAGTTGCTGCATAGTTTTAGGCTTTGATTGGGAGGGGTTAAAGTATTCCACTTTATGAAATTAACTCTACTCTGCTATTAATTTTGGCACTTTGTTTAAATGTGATGCAAAATAGGAGGTAATCCCACCTCACTCTGCCCAGAAGCCAGGCTATACAGCAGAAGACGCAGCTGTGGGATTCTAATGGAATAGACAATGATTATATATCACTGCACAAGTCAATGAAATAAAATGTTTGAGTAACAGTACACTTTGAGCAAGAGCAAGTTGTGTTTCTGGCCACCCAGTGAATCGAAGTGCAGATTATGTCAAATGTTATTTTTCTCTTTTAGCACTGTTTTCATTTTTCCTCCACAAAACAGCTGCCCTTTTAGCTGCTAAATACCCCTATATATTAACCAGAAAGTCAATAACTTTGTCTTACTTCTGTTTGGTGCAAAGGAACTAGTCTGTACTGTGTTTTCAAAGCTTTTTAGTTTAGTCCCACTAATAGAAGCAAAGAACATGAGAGGAATGAGAGTGAACAAAAACAATAAGCTAAAAGACACAAAAAAGACTCCACAAACCTGAGATGGTTGTGTGCAATCAAAGTACCCTGAAAGCTGTTTTCCATGTCTTTTACCCACCAGATCTACCCAGATGAGGGACACTTCCTGTCTCAGCAGAGTCGTCAGCACCTCTACACCACACTGACCAGTTTCTACAGGGAGTGTCTGAAGGAGGAGTTGCTACCACTACCCGATGAAGAGGAGGAAGAAGAGGAGTAGGAATGTGTCTTTGGGAGTCAGACCTTTGGCAGAGCTTGAAAAATTTTGCTGATATCCGTCAAGGCCTTTCGTGTTTGGACCAAGTGTTTAGCCAGAAAAGGACACTGGGGTAGAGCTGCTGATGCTCCCAAAGTGTGTATGTGTGTGTGCGTGCGTATGTGTGTGTGTATGAGCACTCCTGTGTGTGTGTCTGTGTATGTGTAAATGTGATGAAAAAGATAGCTAAAGGACACAACAAGTGACACTCGCATTGCCGGGACTTGAGGCGCGAACTGTCGTCTAGCATAGAGTCATTTCAGTTTTGGGACGCTCAGTTTCTCGGCAAAGCACACTGAAGATCTGCTGCAGGTTCTCCGAGCTGCAGTCATTCACACTTAACCAAGTGCATGGTTCTTTTTCCCCCCTTCGCCTTTCAGCTTCACTCATTCTTGCCATGTCAGTCTCCTTTGTGGTACTGCGACACTTTGGAAGACAAGAACACCGATATACACCTTTGATCTCACTTCTCTTTTGGTTGTTGTATCGTTGCACAAGGAAATGCTCCAGTCATCTGCAAAAATGTTTAGTCACGCAAGTTCACTACAACCTGAGCAGATCCTGAATAAGTGCAATTTCCTGCTGAAACCCTCTGCCATCGCCCACCCTGAATGGAAACAGTGTTTAGAGGTCACACTTTATTGTACAGCAGTCTTGTGTAGACATGTACAATGCCTTATGAGGTTCAACATACTGTAATATTACTTGCTGGCAGTGGTAGTCATCCATTAGCAGTGTCATGTTAACCTATGTCAACTCAGGTCCTCGAGACACGGTGTTGCAGTCAGTTTAGAAACTCTTAAGTTTGGGATGAAGATAACAGGTTTATAGGCCATATAGTAATTTCAGTTTCAGGCCACACTGAAAAAGCTCTCCATCTTAATATGTGATTTGAACCCTTAAATCAAATTGCACAAGTTTAAAAAGGTGTGAGATCATTTTCCAGTGCATCTCCACCAGAGTAAAGAACCATTTCACGTATTTTTGGACACTAAAAGACATTCAAAAAAAGAACTAAGATGGGGAATTTTACAGTGTCAGTAAGGTGTTTGCATGTCTACAGGGAATGTGTCAAGTGTTGCCACATTTTGTACAGTACAATACAGCAGAGTGTGTACATAAATATATTTTTAAGATGTCAGATCTCATAGAAAGTTTAGTCTATGGGGATGGATTGATTTGACCTGGACGTCTTGTACTTTCATTTCTTTTCTGTTTTCTTTCAAGCTGTTGATTTTCTTCTTAGGATGGATTTTGTAATGCTTGTTCTTGTTCTTTTTGCTGTTTTAAAAGGGAAGGGTTGAGGGTTGAGGTTTTGGGGTTATTGTGATTGTCCTCTAGTGATGATTATAAATAATAAATAATAATAATAAAAAATGTAAAAAAAAAAAAATTAAAAAAAAACTAAACAAAAAAAAACAAACATTTGATTTATTCTGGTGGATTGAACACAAATAACAGAGAACCAAATCGGCTGCATTTGTTTGCAGGACTGAGCAATTCAATCTAAAGTTTCATTTGTTTGTTACCTTGGCAGTCACATTAAAGAGACCCAGTCATCTGTCATGGCCATGGGCTACCTGCATTAATGATTTAGCAGGCAAGATCTTCTTATTTAAAGTCAAACATACTTGCATCAACACTGCATGTCTGTGTGCATTAATCACTGCCTGCACTTACAAGCCTGAATGACCAAGCAGATGTTAATTCTTAAATTTGTAGTAGCCAGCAAAATGTGTAACAGCTATGGTGGTTCAGAGCTCAAAACAAACATTATTGGTCGTTTTTTAAGGAGGAATGCATCAACATGGCAACCTAGCCAGATGGAAGATGTTGTGAAAAGGTCTATTTTAACACCAACAGTGATCAGTAGGTGTTTAATTTCTCCACGTGTCTCTGTGGATTCTCTCTGGGAAATCATGCTTTCTCCCACAGTCCAAACACATGCTCATTAGGTTAACTGGTGATGATAAATTGACTGTAGGTGTAAGTGCGATGGACTGGTAACCTGTCCAGGGTGTAGCATGCTTCTTGGCCTATGGCACCTGGGATATGCTTCAGCTCCCAAATTGGAGAAGCATTTAAGAACAGTGCTTGGTTGCGTGGAACTACAAAGCAACAAGCCAGTGTTTTTCAAGTGCCATTCCAAAGCCCAGATAAATCGGGAAGGTTGGATCAGGAAGGGCATTCAACATAAAGTATTTGCCAAATCAAGAATACAGATCACAAAGATCAGTCAAGGCTTTAATTTTATTTATGTAGGACGAAATCACAACAACATTCCACAAGGCGCCTTGTATTTTAAGGTAAATACCCTACAATGATATAGAGAAAAACCCAAACAGCAAACAACCCTCCCTCTGAGCAAGGACTTGGCGACAGTGGCAAGGAAAAACTTCCTGTTTAAAGACACAGGATGGGGTGAGGGTGTGTTCAAAGGAAGTGAGAGAAGACATGCAGAGGGTTAGTTTGAGCATTTTTAGCATTTGGCTTGAACACCACCAAAGTCTAGGCCTCACCCTAAAAGAGTAACAGAAGTTAAACATATACTGTGTAGAGGATGAAAAAAAACCTTTTATACACATTCACACAACAAGTACCCACTTTTAAACATCTGCAAACAAACAATAACACTGCTCTTATCAGTCTGAATGTTACTCTCCTTAAACATTTTTTAACTTGAGAAAACAATGTGATCACAACATCAGTTTAATAACTGCAGCACATTTCCACCACATAATATGATGTTTTAAAAGTTCCCAATGATGATCAAAGTGCATTTTACTTGAATTCCCTTTCCTTACTAGTAATACTTTGAGAGGTGTGCTTATTTGCTTAACATTGCCTTGTTGTCATTCAGTATTGGTCTCATATCTAAACGTCTCAGCTGATGTTTAGATGTATCGCTGGGAAGCATTGTTATGGATTCTCATTGGATGCGGCTAATTGGTAAATTTGCAGAACTGGTGCTTCTAATTAACATATCTTTTCGTAAGCACCACTCTTCTTTTCTAAAGGCAATACTCAGAGAGCCAATCCCACCACATTTCTTGAAAATGTTCAGATTTTTTGACCTTCATGTCTTAAAGTGATGCTGGATTCATGTTTTTCCTTACTTAGTTGAATGGTTTAGCAGTGCTATGTTAGTACAGCAACTGACACTATGTCAGCATAATATAACTGATGATAATACAACTTATAAAAGCTGGAAAAAAAAACTTGAACTATTATGGAGATTCCCTACTCATCAGCTTTTAATCTGCATGTCATTTGCTATGCTTAGCACATCCTGACAGCTCTGTATGAGCCCCAGCTGCAAAATTGCCATTGATCCAGTCATATCACTCTGTATCGCTGAAGCAAAGGGGAACATTTCAGTGATCTATACTAGTTACATTAGAGTGACCTTGGAGCTTCATGAATATATGCACTGTCACTTTAAAATCAAAATAAGCTATTAATGCAACACACAGATCTAAAAATGTCAAGTTTGTCAGTTTATTTGAGCGTACAAATGTTTCCAAGTATACAAATGTCAACTACAGAGGGCAATATATATAGGGTACATGAGATGCAGTTTGTCAGGCAAGTGTAGAAGTGTGAACAGCACAGGGTTATGGTCAACAAACAATCAGTTTGCTACTGAAGGAAAGATGCAGTATTTATTACAGGAGTTCTGTTGTGGCCAAAGCGCACTGTACAGCATAGACTGCTTATCTTACACATGAACTTTCTCCATTCTCCACTTTAATTTCTTTTCACATTTTGTGGATATTAAACACTGTGTGGAACAGTAAAGGTTCAAGCTGGTCACAAACATCTGAAATTTATTCATCTATTTCTAAAAACATAGATGAAGATATTGTTAAACTAAGAAATCTTCCCTGAATAACACAATTAATACTTTTAATATGTCACATGGCAATGTGCGCCCAAATAGCAGATTCATCTTGAACAGACACACAGGTTCCTTCTAACAAAGATAAAAGAAGAAATACAAAAAACTAAGACTCACAGTAACTTCCTTTTTGAAACTTTCATATTAAAGGTTTTCTTTACCTGATTTAAACAGCATGGCTAAACCCCATTTCACTCTCTGTTACATATTGTCATACGATATTTTTGTATTGCTGTGTTTGCCCGAAGCTCAGAAAAGACTATATGAGGTAAAGGCACCTGCAGGAACTGTTTGGTGATTCGGTCTGATAGTGATACGATTTGGTGGATTTATAGGTGATTTTTCTCTGTTCACAGAATGTATTCACATGAATTCACAGTAGATTTCAGGAAAGATACAAAAAAAATACAAGTTTCTTTGATTCCCTGACATTTGTATGCATTACATGGTACAAACATTCAAAACAGAACTCTTAATGGTAGTATAATATTAACCTATCTTTTGTTTTTCCCCACAACCTCAGATTCACTGCTCTAACTTTCTTTGCATTCCAACAAATGTGAAGGGACCTAACTTAAATATTATAGGTCAGTGGGGTTTTATTAATCATTTTTATCAGGCAGCAGATGTTCAGGGAAACACAACCTCTCATCGTTGGCTCACTACAGCAGTTGCTCCAGCGCACTCTCCATAAAACCACCTTACCACAGGAGCTTACTTGGAGCTAATCATCTTCATTGTACCCCTCCTCAAAGCAGCGGTTGAAAAAGTTCAGCACTGAGCTCAGAAAGTAGTGTTGACTCTTTACTGAAATAATGTTGTGTCCTTCATCTGGGAATATCTAGTCAGAAGGAAATGGAAAGGAGAGTCATTATTTCTTTGTAATAAAAAACATAGAAATGAGTTATATTCTAAGTGAAAGAAAGGAGTTCCAAAAACAAAATAAAACACTGCCTTGATATTAACATCATAGTACAGCCAACAAAACTACACCAGCAAATACCAGTTAGCATTGGTAATAATCAGCTGACTTTGATGAAAGACAAGAAAACAATGAACGGATGAACTGGTGACGGTATGTTCTGATCTGCGGCTAAGGATCTCCTGCTAAGATCTTTTTGCCATATAGCACAGGGAACCTTCACTTGTCTTGTAGACTCTAACCACTGGATGCGCTCAAAGGACTAACATGCTAACACTATTAGAAAAGAAAGAAAGAAAGAAAGTGTACTTTATTGGTCCCCGTGGGGAAAATCCCTCTCTGCATTTAACCCATTCACTCAGTGAAGCAGTGGGCAGCCATTGGGCGCCCGGGGAGCAGTGTGTAGGGACGGTACCTTGCTCAGGGGTACCTCAGAGTAGCTGTTCAGGGGAATCAAACCCCCAACCTTCCGATCATGGGGCCACCACTCTACCTACTGAGCTATCCCTAGGCAAGTGGTTATAATGTACTGACTAAGCAGGAATTGTGAGAGTTCAGGCTGGGCTACTTGTGTTTTCTCTTTACACATTTGAGCAGAAACTGTTCAGAGGTAACAACATAGCAAACATGCTCCAGTGCTACCCTATGGTCATCAGGATCCACAACCCGCACCACCCCAAATAAAATATGCAAATACAGTGACTATATAGAATCAATCTAAAGTGTATAAAGGAATTGAGACACTCATGTTGAAGAATACAATTACTGTAATAAACTAATTAAAAAATTAAAGGAACACTTTTTAATCAGAGTTTAGCATCAGTTATATTTTATAACTTAACTTTGATATGATATTGATCTGTTCAGTTAAGCAGCAGAGGGGCTGTCAATCAGTTTCAGCTGCTTTGGTGTTTTTAAAAGCTCCTCTAGTGCAACAGTTACTAGAGGGGTAACAATGAGAGGATGGGAATTAGAGAACCCCCAAAATAGTAATGGCTTTGCAAGTTCTTTGGGGGTTTTTTTTAATGTTTTTTTTTTTTTTGCATTTGGCTAGCAGGGCACTGCTGTGAATGTATCTGACTAAACAATCAGAAACAGACTTTATGAGGGTGGCCTGAGGTACCAACATCTTCTAGTGGGCCCTGTGCTCACACCACAGAGACTGATTGGCATTTGCTACAGCATTCCAGAATTAATAATCAGAATAAAAATCCAGCATGATTTTTCCCATGGAGATCTGAGGAGTTTTCAAAGTGTTGTGATTTTTTTGAACAATTTTGTTGAGCAGTGGGTGTTAAACATGACATGTGACCATCATGATCATGTTCGGGGGAGTAGCATGCATCTGAGTGCAGGGAGATGGGATATACATTTATTTTAATGACATTACACCCTTCTGCTGATCAACAGCTGGTAGAAATGAGAGAAACTTGAGTTCTAACATGAGTATACACCGAATTCCTTTTTTAGTATGAAAAGTATCTCAAAAGAACAAAAGTGTAGGGGTCTGAGCTGTACCATTAAATGAGTTTTTATTTTAAATACCTCTTTTTAATTGGCTACATCACTGTGGTAGCCAGTTTAAAAGAGTGTATAACTTGGTCTGGAGCAGATTAAGTTTTTTTTTTTTCTTACAGTTTTCACTGCTTCATTTCCAAAAGAACATAACATTACAAAGTAGCTGCCCTTTTATACGCAACCCGCCGAGGCATACCTTACTAATGCCACTAAAGAAAGCTGTGATGGAAGTTACAGTAGTGTAGTGTAAGTCACAACATCACATGAATGTGAACGCATTCAGATGATGATTCAGAAAATATGTCATCTGTTTTAATGCTGGTATTAATCTGCTGCCATGTCAGTTCTACACTGCTGGAACTCCAACTAAAAGACTGAAAATTGATCAGTTACATTTTTCAACTGTTTATCATATTTCATGTGCCAATGCCAGTGCCTTAACATTTCTCTTTAATCTGGCCTCATTTAAAAGTGATTTCCACATCTCCATCATCAGACTACAAGACTGTGTCAGACTTAAATGCACTGAAGCCTATAATATTTAAATTTACCTTTAATGTGGAGCTTGCACATCAGTGCACTCGTAGTGCAGTTGTTTCTTTCTAATTAATAATATTAATTGTCATTTATACAAATTCAATAGTAATGGCTCTTAACTTATTTCAGCACCATGGGTGTTGCCATTAGATTTATTTATTTATTTTTATTCTTCATAGGTCTCTGTGGCTAGTTTTTCTGACAATGTTTCAGTTTGAAATAAGCACTTTCAAAAGATGTCACATGCAGCTTTGTGTAGCCAACTAATGCAAATGAAAATCAAGCTGAAGGATCACAGTTTTAACAGACTGGGGGAGATCCAGTAACCACTGCAGAGGCACAAATGCAAGGGGGCATGCCAGGACTTTTACTGAATTATCTAATTATCATCTTATACGAGAAGATGATTTTGAAGGCGAAACCAGCCACATTTAAAACGGATATTATTATTTATTTTTTTTATCTTTTTTTCTTTTTTTTTTATCTTTAACCACAGTTTGTAAAATCTCGCTGACACAAAATAGACTGTTTGGAAAATTATTCATATAAACGTTGCCTAGCATCTGCTCACACAAGCAGCTGTCCACAAACATTGCTTTAATTGCCAAGACCTGATTATCTTGTGCAGCAGAAAGAAACCATCACATATCTGACCACACTGCTTTCTGATATGGACACATGGGAAAGCAGAAGCTTTTGTTAAATGACTTTTCAGCCTTCAGAGAATAAAAATAAGAAGGCTGGTTGATAAATTCACAAACACAGCACATGGGTCCGCTCTTGTTAGGGAGCTGAAATGAATGTCATGCAGAGAGGAGATGGCAGAAGTCACCTGGAGAGTGTAGTTAACATTTGATGCAGACAGCAGTTTAACCAACTCAGCAGAATGCTGGAAATGAACATTGGCTGTCAAGAGAACAAAGAGTTGCAATGAGAATTTACAATGCAATAACTTTGCACAACAACCATTCACCCCATTATGCAGAGCATTGTTAGGAATTCAGTAAAATAAAAGAAATGCAATAGTTGGACTAACACTTACAGTTTTTTTTTCCTTTGCATTCATTTTTATGTTAAATTTGCAAAAAAGAATTGTCAGTATGTACTTATTTACAGTTAATTTGGCAGTAAACCCTACTTAATTCTACAGCTACATATCTGCTTCATCATGTTTATCTATTCCCATGCTCACCATCTGCTGTGCCGTGGATAATAAGAAAGTTCAATGGACTTGCAGGTCCTGTGATGTTGCTGAGCAGACTGGAAATCTGCAGGAGACAGTGAACAGTCACCACCCAGTGCAGAATCAGACACAGCTTAACTATATCAGATTTAAATCTAATAAAACAGCTCATAATGTTGAAGCCATTAGCATAAAACTTTGGTTAGAAGACAAGAAACTACATCTTTAAACAGTATCAGTTCCCACTCATAAATATTTATAGCAACTTCTATCAGATGCAACCAAACACAGATGGA